GAGTACTACCGGGAAAAAGTAGTATCAGCGAGGGGTTATTAGTTGAGAAGCGCGGGGCATACGTTGTGGGCGGGGCGTGCCCCGAGGTGGGTGGAGCCAAATTTAAAAAATTCGCAAAACGGTTCCAGAGCACTCCAGACACCGGGAAAAAGTAGTTTAAGATCAGCGAGGGGTTATTAGTTGAGAAGCGCGAGGCATACGTTGTGGGCGGGGCGTGCCCCGAGGTGGGTGGAGCCAAACTTAAAATTTCACAAAACGGTTCCAGAGCACTCCAGACACCGGGAAAAGGTAACCGGTTTACAAGTGTAAGCATACCTGTTGTGTGTGGAGCGTGCGTCAAGGTGAGCGGGGCCAGCCTCAAAAATTCTTCAAGCGGTTCCAGAGCACTCCAGGCACTTCGGACCTCTATGTGATACGGCCCGGCTTTGCGGGGCGTGGCTCCATCGCGCCTACCTACATTCGTACGATCAAATGCTCGACTAATACCCGGCTTTTCTCTCATCTGTCCACTTGATCAACGCTCCTTACCACCACTCCATACACCGTAATAGTGTTGAAAGGAGCAGGTATGATGCTATTGGTCAAAGAATGTTGACCACCTGTTCGGGTAAAAGAAGAGCCTGATACTAGGCGGCTAATGAAATGTGTGGAAGAAGGTAAGCGCGGCGGAGCCGCGCAGTATCCTAGGAGGCGCGCCGGAGTCAGCCGGCGAAGCCGGCTGGTTTAATATAGACCACCAGAAAGGAAGTAGCGAAAGTGCAAAATGTCCCTCCCAAGCCAAATAGCGCCTAAAGAAATGTTCTGATTTGCTACAAGGCAGAGCATCGTAGTGCTGAACCCATCATGGGAGGGTCGTATTTAGTCGCTAGACAGGCATTTTGCCTCGAGAAAGAATAATCTGCCCGAAAAGTAAATGTTTATGGTGCTGTTTTCGGGAACCAACTAGGATCCTTCATAGGGGAATTTTTTTCGCATTCTTGTGCGAAGCACCATCCACTCTTCCCCTTCCACCTCCGTGCTGGCCCCTGGTCCTTGAAGTCTCTTGCAATGAGACTTTCAAGGGCTGTTCATTTGAAAGTTGAACATTCAACCCAGCTCGATGCTGTAGCTTGAGTGGAGTAATAAGAGCAGAAAACGGTTCAAAGAGCAAGTACGCTAAGGGGAAGAGCATTTAAAGGACTCCTTGTGTGAGTTGAGATTATTCTCACTATCTGATTATCCCGTCTCAGAACCTAATCCTATCCTATCTTCGTGCTAATCCTTTTTAGGTTAAGGAATCTTTTCGTTTTTCTCGGAGTTTCTTTCTTTCTGAGTTTGTACGCCTGACTGCGTCGTCTCTGGCGTCATGTTTATCCATATTAAGTATGGGGAAGAGGTTTTTAATGCATGACCGGTTTGTTGCCTATGTTCTACTTGGCTTGTACGACCTCCTTTTATTGCTTCCCTCCGCATTTAGTTAGTATACCTAACGGTTTATGTTTTCTTTTGTTTCGGTTTGATTTGCCAGCGGTTTGATTTGCCTTCGAGCGGTTTGATTTGCCTTTGAGTTGTATGCTCTTAATATTCATGTTCTTTTTTGCTGTCGATGGTGCACGTGAGTGCTAGTAAACAAATAAACAAATAAATATTATGACATTCCCAGCTTTGCGTAAGTGGTCCTGGAACGCCATGCCTCCACTTCGTAGAACTGCACCTGAATCACCTCCTCTCGTGTCGCTTGTTATGGTAGCGATATCGGAGAAGGCCAGTTTGCACCAAGTAATGCTGGACCCAAGATAATCAGGGACTCAGACTAAAATAGCAATCACTCAGAGTGTTTCTAGTACTGGAGCAGTCCATTTGGCCTCAGTTTCGGTTTTATCGTCGGAATGTGGCTTTCGAATATCGCCGTAAGGCTGCGTTCATACTTTCTGTCGGAATCTTGAGCGTTTCGATGCCCCTTACAATCTCCTGTCTTTTGATGTATTCCAGCCTCCCAGACTTACCAGCACAGAAGTTCGCTCTCCAAAATCCTGTCTCGTTGCTGCTGTTAGAAATCAATACGAGTAGTACCTTATCACCGGTTAATACGTGAATACCAAAGATATTCAGTCTGGCTCAACGCACACCTCTGATTTGTATGTGGCGCTCATCTAGCCGTTTCCACGTGGGAAGTCGGTGTACCCGTGTTTCGGAGTCTCGGTAAGCTCCTATGACCCCGCAAGTGCGACAGGGGGGTGTTTGGCATGGGCATCTGTGGCCGACAGATGAAGTGGGTGGCACATCCGATCATGAGGTGATGCAGTGCTCTTGATACTTCCTATATGAGATGCGAAGATGCTCCTGATACTTCTTAAATGGTTACTTCATAAGCTTTGTCGCATATCAGCAACACACACACATATCAAGCGCACTTCTGGCTAGTAAGGCCTTCTCGACATCAAATTATTTTTCCGTATGTGACTTATTGAGCTTGTGGCCAAGATTGGTAAATATTTTATTAACGGTTGACGTTTCGGCGTCGTCGCCTTCTTCGGAACCTGGAAAGTCGAAAAACATTCAGGAAACCCTTCGTCCAAACACTATTTCAAGCTACAGGAAAATTCCAAAAGGGACGTAAACTACTAAAACGATGTCGTAGAGCCTTGATAAACTGACCTTTGAGCAGTCGAACCACGGAGGTCCACCTATCACCCCTAACTGGTAATAATGCGGTTTAAATAGGGTGACCCTCGGGACCACTTGCTCAAATTATTTTTCATTTCAGCTATCCCCTAGATCTGTCCTACGAGGTATCTAGTTCAGTGCTACCGGAGCTGTGTTTCCTAAGTTTTTCTGTGTTAATAATCTCTGTTTAAGCTGAGTTTTTAATTTTATATCTTCCTTAGTCAATACTACGTATTTCACCTACTGACCTGCTATTATTGAATGACCTTGGCGCGTCCGGTGGACGCAGAATAAATAAATAAAAAAAATGAGCGAAATAAACCAAGGGTGTCGAGTCGCGACGTTCAAACGCTCTATATCGAACCTATGCTTTTCGCTGAACAGGCGTGCAATCGAAACAGTTCAACTTCGTACAAATCTTATCAGACCTTACAAGACTTTACAAAACTGCCGTTGATTATTGGGAATTCCGAACAAATGTGAGGCAACCTTCGAGTGATCCGCTACGCAGCTGCAACTGATCTAGGGTCAAAGTCAGTCCGGCTCTCGCGCAGGCCCACGAAGCCTTCCTCACTCTGGGGACAGTAAATTGACAAACATTGGTCTGGGACATACAAAAACTGCTCTGTGCATCGGTCGTCTCCCAAAAGTCATTGTACAAGCCCCATCGCAACTTAGTAGGAGGCCGCCATGATTCTGGATAAGGTTAGTGTGCCGTATAGCATCCCAAATAAAGGATTTTTCAATGACGTACAGCTCACTATTTACTTTGGAATTATTTACTTGTTTACACTATCTTGTTAATATTGAAAATTGCCCTTCTCAATAGGATGTTCGCCGTTACTTGTCGTTGAACGCGCCCTTTTACTGCTGCCCTCACTGGTATTTGAAAAGCATGGACAGGGGGATGCGCAGCACGCAAGATACCGATTCACTTGCCTGTGGTCCCAAATTACCACTGGAGAACCTGTTCCGTGATAAAGTTTTTCGAGTTGTCGATACGCGTAGGCAGTTTCAAGGGATGAAATTGAACTGAATGGCTGAATAACTTGGAAGCTGCCGCACAATTTTCCGAAATCTTCTTTCTTTTCTGGATCTGAACACATTTTCTGAAGTTATAATCCTCGACAAACGTGATACCGTCATTTTATAATTGTAGGTCGTTTGTTAAATTGTCAAATTTTGTTGATTAAGTTGAAATTGATAAATTTCAGAAAACTAGTTCCTTCTTCCTGCCTTTGTGCAGTGCAAAGTTAGTGCCGATTCTGACAGACTGCCATCATGTGACGTCGTAATGTTTTGCTGTTCAGTTTTAGTGTTGTTTCACTTTTCACTTTTGAACGAAAACTTTTGTAGCATTCGTGGTCATCATCTCATTTATTTAACTTTCAGCAAACGCTAATTTTTCGACACTCTCTTACTTTTGTCTTTTTTCGGTAATACAGTTGGGCAAATATTTTTTTCTGTTTTGCTGAATAGGAGCTAGTGAATACACAGACTTTCATTCAACCTCGGGGAGGTTTGAAAAACACTCCGCAGACCATATCCTTGCACAAATTCGAAGCAAGCAATATTCATAATCTACACCAACATACACTGTACACATCTGTCTTGAAGGGGGTATTTTTTGCACGCTTCGCCTAGTTCTTTTTATATGGTCCATGTATAACAAACAAACTCGCGGTTGGTCAAACTGTTAGACTCATTTAAGGCGGAATAATGCTCGAATGAGCGGCACTTGCTTAGCAGAAATTTATCAGGTTTCACAAGGTGGGTCTGTACAGAGCTCAGCTGTACAGGCCCACCTTGTAGTTAGTACAAGTCGTACCGCCACAAGAACGATGTACTGCGCAGTCGTTATTTCCTCAATCATTTCCGGGAAGAGAACGAATCACGTGAAGAGGCGTACATTGCCTTAGAGGCACGTTGCGAGTTCATTTGATGTGCAGGCACCGTCTTGGACAAGGTAGTCCTGTCCGCAAGCCCAGAGGATATATTATTCTCGTAGCTCAAAAAAGCGAAATAGCGGCGCCACCCAGTGGCGATCAAGGTGGTGCCCAATGCCCCTTACCACACTCAACCCTCCTTTGTGGAGACTTCCCTGATGGTGTGAATGTTTCCGCGGTAGCTCTTTCCCTTACAAGTGAAAAATTCCTTCAAGCACGCTCCCCTCCCATCTAATGTTCGTAAAAGCTCTGTTTGGCATAGGGTCCTATAGCGGCATTTCCGAAGGTTGTTTTCTGCTCCTCTGTTCACAGTTAACTACCATCTTGTCACAGTCTTGCACCCCCATCCACTGTTCTACTTTGATCGCGGATAGTGATTAAGGGGAGGGAAGCTTTTATGTGGCCTTAATGGTGTGAACAGTATGATACACCACGGATTGATGGCAGTGGTGATTGTTTACCACTCATATCTACAAGTAAGTATGTGAAACTTGGTGGATTAACCATCCTTCCACCTTTGTCACGGGCACATATTCACCATGACAGCCTGCATTCCTTCGACTTCGCGCATGAAAATCTACAGAAAATCGTGGTTGGGAGCGCAAGCAGGCTATAGAAACTCAAAATTGATAGCATTTCGGCCTGGAGGGGGAAGGGAGCACTTTGCGCTACTGCCAGTTCCCACTGACGTGTTGAGTCATCAAGTGGAGACGTGTTCTTGTAGAACCACGGAATGGTACTTCCAAAAGTTGTGGAGTCCCTTGTGGGCCCTTGTAAAGAATGCCTCTTACTTCTGTAAAACACGAAATGCATACAAATACCACTTACTGTGGCGGCTGGACGAGCTTGCTCCAGCTTCACAAGAGTTCACAGGTTTCACCAGAGTGAGACTTGTAAACCGGAACTAGTGAAGCAACGAAAGTGCAAAATGCCCCCCCCCAGCCGTTGCCGTACTGCGCCAAGTGTAGTATAGATTAGGCAGGAACGAGTGAAGTACTAGAGCAGGCTGTATTTCAAATGCTATCGTCGGCATCAAGATCTCCTGCTTTTCCTTAACTTTTTTCAGTTTGGCCACGCACCTGTCCGTGCAAAAGTATTGTGGACTAGTGGAAAAACTTTGTCACGGGCTTTGATATCGTTAAGCCATTCTCTCTGTTACGCTTGTTAACAGTGTTCAATTGTACAGTGCGTACGCGCGATTGTTCACAATCGGACGTTTATTGAGCGAAAGTTTGCGCACACTTTCGCTCAATGAGCGTCATGGCGTGAGTGATGTTGTAAGATGGTTTACAACATCCACGACGACCGTATCTTGCAGGGTGTAGTGAGCAGATGTAGTAATCGATTAGCATGGTGAACAGCACACTCGAGCCAGTTAGCCATAAGCTAGGCCTGTGAAAACAAACGGCGAGCGTATGTTCGCCAGAATAGTCTGGACTCAGTGGAATTGTATGCGGCGTTAGGGACATCATGTCAGATGAAGGCAATTATGGGGTGCTGTTTGGCTTGGGATGGGGCATTTTGCGCTTTTGCTAGATCCTTTTGCTAGTTTATGTTTCGATAGCAGAACGAAGGTGAGACCTGTAAACTCCTGTGAAGCTTGAGAAATGGTGGGACTGGATTTTGGTCTCAGAAATTCATGGAAGGTGGCTTGTTCAAACTCAGCCTGAGATACGCATCGTGATGCACACAATCCGAGCTGCAGGAGTATGGGTTTCAACTTACCGTTCCACTTAGCCATCTTTATCTGTTCAGCTAATTCGTGTCCGTATGATTTTTTAAATAAGGAACGCCTTGATGACATCAGTTAGGTTCACACGTCACTCTGTTTCCCTCAATCCTTTTTTTCTTTAATGACGGAATGCTATCAGAGAGCTTATTATGAAAATGTTTATCCAGCTTTGTAATAGGTGGAAACCAGCGGGATCTTGCACGCGAGAGGAACTTGAAGAAGCAGTTGGAACAAAAGAAGAAGGCCGGAGCATCTGCGAAAGAAGGAAATGCGGTATGTGCAGATGTCCTACTTTATTTTATTTGCTTGACCACGATTTGAGAGGTGCTTCAATTATTTTTTTTTGCAATTCACTTCATTTCATATGGTTTGAGGGGACAATTTCGGTGCGAAAAGCGTAGCAGACAGGTGCGTTTGTGGCTGCCAGTTTATCTTACCACTACGTTAGCCTAGAGGGCTCGTATTACCAGCAGGGCACGCACTGCCATTGGGAAGAAATTTGCAAAATACGATGCTCCTTTTCGCACTTTTTCGCAGTTTTTTCCCCGAAATCCTCTACTTTCCACACCTAAAAGTCTGTGAGCGGAATGGGGGGGGGTGCGGGGTGGGTAGCATCGCGGCTCTGTGAAGGGAGGAACAGACGCGAAACGGAGAATTAGAAAGCTGAATGTCACAAAACCAAATACTTTTTTTTATTCAGAACATTTCTGCTCCCTAACATCTCCTCCCCCACTCAACCACTTTGGGGATCAAACATGGGGTCCATGTATATCAATTATAAACTCAAAGTTGCTTATGAAATTCCACTTGAGGCCCAGTAATTTTTTTTTTTGTCATTTTATCGCTATTTCCACGAAGCATACTAGCTAGTTCAAGCGAGTCTGAGCAAGATATGAAAACTCTTACAAATTCAGAGTGGTCCTCGCCATTTTTAATTGCGTGAGGCTAGCATAATCTCTGGAAGGTTTCTTTCTATTCAGATCCAATGTTAGTGCCTCGTACGTCAGGGATTGCCCTCTCCTTCTTTCCTCCTTCCCCCTCCCAACTCGACAGCAGTTTTTGGGGAAAAATTCGGAAGTTGCCAAAGTTAGGATCGGCAGTGGGGAAGGGAGTCGTATCGAAAGAGAAACTCTTGAGGAGGTCGTATTTTGCATAATTTCTTCCCAGCGAAGAGGGCGTGCCCTGGTTTATGCCACTGGACGGAAGGCCCAGCTACCCTTCGGGCTTCGTCCTGAAGGCCGGATTTCTTGCACAACTCATTTTGTTCGATAACACATAAGAAAAGTTGATCTAGTGCCAGCCTACTGAAGGAAAGTTGTATCTCCTATTTCTAGACTTGTGGATCAATATTTCAGTTCAACAGTTCACGAAGACTGCGTCCTGGTGCTTACGCGCACATAAAGTGATACCATATGAAGCGTCTCGGGATTTCTGTCAACCGCGGAGCCCCTCTCCTACTTCCTTTTCTCCCTCCTTGATTCTTTTCCTCCCTTCTTTCCTTCTTTCTTCTCCTTTCCTTATTTTCCTATCATCAAAAGCTTGGCCAGAAGACGCGCTGAGGAAATCTTTCTGGACCCTCGCAACGAAAGCGCATTTAGTTGACAGATGACCGTAACCACGTCTTTTCGAAGAACTTTTATGCTTCACGAATGGCACATAGAGGACTCGCGATTTGAAGCAATTACCTTGAAAAAGAAACAGAAGTGATGAAAGGTTCTGGAACGGAGAAAAGTGTTCTTTTAGGATCGTTTTTGTTTTTTTTTCCGCAGATACATCTTCATTTCGATATTTGTGGAAAACTGAAGCTTTCGGTCGCTTTGGAAATACTGATTATACGTCTCGTGTGCACCATAAAGGCTAGGATTGTGTGAATTGTTCTCTGTATTTAGGGCCTTTCAACGGATGCAAGAAAGATTCGTGATGCCGAAGTAATGCGACTGAAACAAGAGAAAGCGGCTGCAAAAAAGGCCGCTGACGATGCAGCAAAAGCCGCAGATCAAAAGAAATTAGCCAAAATTGATCCTCTTAAAGATGTAAAGGTTGATTTTTTCTGTTCGTTTCATTTTCTTTTCATCATTTGCTGCTCGGGTGAATTTTTGGTTCAATTCATTTTTGTTCGGTACTGTTTGCTATCACAATTCGTGATGCGAATATGACCTTAGGTTGCGTTCATACTTCGTGATTCGAGCCAGTTAGTCGCGCGACTCCTTTTCGCGGGCTGGTCGCTCTTACTCGCGCGACTGCGCTCTCTAGCTAATGCGTGGACCGCTATAGCCCTATCGTGAACAAGATGGCGGCTGTACTGGTCCAGTGGGAGAGTGCGGTCGGTCAGTCTCGTGCGGCTCAACCGCGTAGTACGAACGTGAACTTATAAAGCAAAAATATAGTCAGCAAAAATTTTGCCTACACCTAATGCAATCAACCGATTGTGGAGCTAATAATGATTTAAGAGATCATGAAAAAGGACTCAATACTTCCATATTTCAGTACTGTTCGTTTTACCTGACTTGCTCTTTCAGGTCCGAATGAATTCATGTCCCATCGCTTGGCTCAGCCTCAGAGTCGACGTATCCCGTATACAAATTATTCATGGTTCTTCATTGTTTGTTTCAGTAATATTAGACCATTATAATGGCTCTGGATTTATAAATTTTCTGAATGCTCAACGGTTTGTGTTTGGGATGATATGAGAATTGAAAAAGGTGGATTCTGACATCCCTAGAAGCGCGCCCGGGTTCACAAATGGTGGGTTGTGCAGCTGAAATATTAATGACAAGATGGTGAGTAACCCCAAGTGAAAAAGGCAGGATATACCCACACAGTATGCCCCACATAAAACCCATGCTCAACCCGCGCCTGGACGTACATCACCGCAATTGTCGGGTCGCAATCAGCGGCTCGCACCATCATTGGTTGCTCCCTCCCTAAATCGATCTTTACCCGATCGCCATTGGTAGAGCAACGAGGCCGAACGCCCATTTGGACCGCGTTGCACAGCCGCCCTTCCGACAGTCCGCAATGATGAGGACTATACATAAGGCGAAGAAGGGACGTGGTCCGACGAGTTCTCACAGCGTTCACATACTGAAAGTGTCAAAAAAAGTTTAAGCCAGTACGTATGACTTCCATTTTATGACACACTACAGCTGTGTCTTCAGACTGACACATTCCAGATGTGTTTCGGAATGAAATTTGAAAAATAGGGCGTGATTCCTTGAAACTCTTTCTTTTTCTATTTTTCATTAGTCACAGATATGCAGTCTCACTTGCTTCCTATTCATGTCTCTAGGACGTCATCCTTGTGGAATTTGTTAGAAGGTTCACTCTGGTGGCTTTGGTCATATATCACACTTTGTAAACATCTTTGAAAACATCGACTACTCTCAATGGTCTATTTCTAACATTTTTCTTGTGCTTCTCACTGTCGGATAGGGTAATGCTTTCAAGTTAAGTCACAAACTGCAAGCGCATGGTAATGAGCTATGCGTGGTGCCATGTGCTACTTTTTTCGCCGTAAGGCTATCTTGAAAAATGAGCATAAAGGCTCGCAGAGGCGCAACTGGCAGGCTGGTAGTGGTTAGAAGAAGACTGTAGACGTCTGTAGAATCGCCGATTAAAGACAGCATCGACCGAAGAAAAAGTCTCCAGGACAGCTGCTTTCACATTAATAGAAAGAGGGCAGTGATATTGTAATTCCGCAAAGAAGACAACAGGCAAGAAGCGTTCTCCAAAACAACATAAACAAAATCGCTCCCTCACAGTCACACCTCCCTGCGGTCTCTGTGCAGCCCCTAGCTCACAAGTCTCTCTATCACATCTCGCAGTAGTTGATATCATCCAGTGCAAAAGAAAGAATACAAAAGAAAACAACAAAAACGCAGAGGAAAAACTCTGGGAAGGAAAAAGGAATTTTATCAACGAGTGTCTGAATTTGATGATACGGCTAGGCGCACACTTATTGTGCGTCTTTGGTTTGTGGCATCCGAAAAATTGCGTCACCGTGTTTTTTACGCCGTTTCCACGCCCTCCGCCGACAAATGGATTGAATTGAAATGTATATACGATCTACCAATGAGTTAAATATGTAAATGAAGGAGAGCAAGAAATTATCCCAGGAGCATGTGGGAATGGCCTGCGCCCCAACTAGAACAAAGTGAGTGGCCTCGTCGAAGGAAAACTACTCATAGCTAAGAAAGGCCGGACTCCGCATACGAGGAGGAGTTATGAAGGTCAGCCTTTGAGGGCGGCGCATGGAGCCTCGCGCAGGACTCAACAACTAAAGTCCGCAGAAAAGAGAGTGCAAGCAATATCGTAGCTTGGAGGCTAACTACATGCACAACAAAGCGGACCGGACGAGCACATTATGAAACTCCGGCGCGGCTGTAAATCTTAAGGAAGCTACAGAAGGCGCCTAGTGGTAGGTCTGAACCGTCAGTGTACTAACATAGCGTTAGTCGGAGAGGTACTTGTCGAATGGGAATCTCATTGACAGGGTGCGGCATTGTTGGCAGAACATCAGCAAGGGATGAGTGAGGCTCAAGAGCATAGAAAAATAGATATAGAAGGTATCTGTAGTTTTGGGATAGTTTTTCGGCACAGCCGTGAAAACTATACCTCGTTTGTAGATTGTAGCGGTTTTCTCCGTCTTCATCGCTGGCTATAAAAAGAGATAAAAGGGAAAGGCGGATCGTGAAGAGCTAATGGTTTTGGAGAAATAGAAATAATATATGAGATAGAAGATCGTTTTTCAAGTGCCCAGATCACTGAATCAGCTGAAAAGTTGAATACAGGGGTAATCAAACATCCTGATCACGAATATGGCAATCGTTCTTTGCGCTGGTGCTAAACAAAGACACTGCGGTCATTTTCTGGGGTCTAGCTTTACAGAGGCAGATAATAGTTTTCGTTTTTCAGTCGGCCTACGCGGTGGTAGGTGTATTTTCCAAAAATTCCCAAAGGAAAGAATGTGCTGATTCAAATCGCGGTCATATCCCTGTAATTCCAAAGGGTATTTGACTGCGTGGCGCATATAGAAAGAGCTGAACATTTCATAGTTTGTACTTTGCTTGGCAAGGAATTGTATTAGACGCGGACCGATAAGTAGGAATTGAATAGTTTTGGCGATAGCTAAAAGAAAAGTCCCCCACTTTCCGTTGGGTGGCGACCGCGTTTTGACGATGAAACTAGCCACGCGAGTTCACAAGTTATATTGTTAGATGGTCTAAATAGTTCATTGTATACGCGAACGCACGTTGAAAAATAGTTCTTGTTTAGTCGCGATCACCCCGTCAGCGTTCGAACGAGTTTTTTTTTGCATGAAGAAACAAAATCAGAGAAGTTGGTTGGTCAGATGGGAAGGAGGATCGCATCAGAGTAGAGGAAACGGAGCTCTGTTTTGCCAAAATCTCCCTTCATGATGGGAAGCTTGTTTGGAACAAAATTGAGTTCTAGTACATCAAGCACAAGTAAACGAGTGATATTGATAATATTCGAGCAAATTAATGAATAGAAAGTAGCAGTCCAGATGGAGCTCGGGAAAATATTTTCCTTTCTTATTGGCAAAAATAGGGCAATAAAAATGGTATACTCCATATTCCAGAGAGAGGGCGTGGATGCTCGCTACATTTTATCATGGCGTGAGATGGGTTTTCGTGGGATTGCTACAAGTAGCATTCTATCTTCCGATAGATGGAGAAATGATTACAACTATTCCACAAGGGCAATATCCCACCAAAAGCGCAGCTGCGACCACGTTCAAATAAAGTTCGCGGCCACGCCCTCCCATCTCCCGGATATGGAGAGGACACAGCTCGAAGTGGTGTTTTGATGAGTCACTGATCAGCCTGGAGCTAGCGGGTTCGTTGTCAAAGGTACCTTTATTCAATGTAATCAACAGCTCAATCGACGTTCTTCCTTATTCTAATTACCCATTGGACTTGAGGCGTTAATGACCAGAGAAAATGCCCTGTCAGTTCCGTCCTGACCTCCATCGAATATCGATAAATCGCGCAAAGACTACTTACTTGCCTTCTGTCAGTCTTCACTTCACTTTTCTTTTCCAGCAATCAGCTGATTCTTTTTTTTCTGATTTTTTTCCAAACTTCTAATTCTTTTGTTTCATTATACATATGTTTCGTTTGTTTCCTTTGCTTTTTGTACAACTGCTTCAATAGAATGTTCCCGTTACTATTATCCTTGCATTTTCGTTTCCTCTTCCCTTTGTCTTATTAGTCGAATCTATAATGCATATTCTGTGCACGGTAAATTCGGTAAATTCCCGAGAACTCCATTGCGATATAATTTTTTTGGTGCAGTTCGGCTAGGGGGGGAAGCGGGGTGCATTTTGCACGCTTACTGCTCCCCGTTATCGTGAGCTGACAGGTAATCTTCAAGAGTTGACGAGTAATTCTACAAACTTCGAGTGGTATCACTTCATCGAGAAGATTTCACATATCTTTACTTGATGGTTCGACACGAGAATGGAAAGCTGTGAAAGTGCAAAATGGTCCCACCTAGCCGAATGACCGATTTTTTCTGCTTTGTAAAACTGCCCGCTCATGATGTTT